GGTTGTTACATTTGTGATTGACATGACATTGGCCAATCAGATGAAAGGAAGAAAAATAGGGTCAAAATTCGTACTTATAACTTGAAACTTGAGTGCAGAGTTTCACACGTATTCTTTGGCCACACACAAATCTTTTTACACACACAAATCTTTTTACACACACAAATCTTTTTACACACACAAATCTTTTTTACAAGTACAATTTGAGCCACACTGGAAGAGTCTCGTGTTGTGGGTTTTGTTTTGAATGCATCACAGAGCACAACGTTGTGTCGTTTCAACCGCTACAGTTTGCTCTACAAGATCTGCTGAAGTCGTGTTTGGGCCTTTTCAATAAGCTGACATGAATGTTAGCCTGCTGTTATTCCACGTTACCTGGATTATATCAATATTCACACTACACAAAGATTAGCAGCATCACAGTGATGTTTTTTACATGTCGTCACACTGATTTGTGTTTGTGTGTGGACTGAAGTCTACGTTTGTGAGTTCTCAGAGGTTCACAGGACTTTATGCTTGTGGATCATACTGTAACATCTGGATGCTTTTGGAGAAACTTTCTCTCCACGTCTTCTGTAAAAGACAAAGTGCTAATAAACACTGGTTTCTATCAGGAAGCACAAAGTTTTGGCACGTTCACCTGTCATAACGTCCTCATGACTGGACAGACGTGGATTAGCTCCACACAAAACACAACTATGACACAAACAAGCAGAGGCTGAGTGTGTGTTTGTGCACCTGCCAGCGGCTCACTGATCACTCAGGACCAACACTGTTACTGTGCTCGTCTGTCAGCGTCATGACTACATAGCTGTTTATCTGAATCACACTCACATGCTGCTCTGTAACAGCACACAGGGTCGTCTAAAAAATTCACCTTCGTTTGTGATAAAGTTATCAAAGCAGTTTTGTTGATTCTATGTGTGCACTGAAATGAAAATGATTCTAGCTTCAAAATTAAATGAAAAAACAAAAAACTGCTTAAGGTTTAAAGTTGGCATTACGTAGTAGGGCTGCCACGATTAGTCGACTATCAAAATCGTCGA